ATCACTTGTCCAAGGTCACCCAAGGTCAACAGCAGAGCTACTAATGACAGATTTAACTGTATACATGGAGGGGAGCTTTGACATATGGGAGGAAGCCTGAGGCTCTGGCAGGGGCATGGCCTTGCCCAAGGTCCATGGTGAGGCAGACGCAGGGCTCCTTTTCCTCAGCCCAGCTTGCATCACAGGAAGGGGAGTCAAGGCTCTGCCGCCGCTGTCAGCAGCCCTCAGACCCATAGTCCTTGTCTTGGAGATGGCCCCCAACCATCCTCTGTCTCCCTCCAGATCTGGAACTACCGAGTCCTGAAGGATGAGTTTCTGGGCCAGGTGCACCTGAAGGCCAGCTCAGACGACCTCCAGGCCCTGCACACCCTCCACCTCCGAGACCGCAACAGCCAGCAGCCCAGCGACCTGCCGGGCACCGTTGCTGTGCGCATCCTCAGCAGTGCCTCCCTCACGGCCATCTGACGCCTGCCCATCTACCTGCACCCACAGTTCTCACCACCATCTGCATGTCCCCAGCCAGGCCAGGGACTAACCTGGGAGCCGGGACACTGGCGTCCTTTTCCCAGCTTTTCCACTGACTTGCTGTGTAACCTTGGGAGGTCTCTGTCCCTCTCAAGGACACTTGCCTCAGCGTCCCGAGGACCCCAAAGCATTCCCTTCTCATAGAGGAGTCGTCTTGCCTGAGATTTAAAATAGCCCTCCCTACCCCAACTGCCACCATGGCTAAGGGCCTCTATCCGTTGAAAACCTTGTCCCAAGGCCCTGCTGTCTGCCAGCAGAGTGCCAAAGATGTCACTTGTTTACACACAAACTACCACATCCCCAAGGCCCACTCCTGCCCCTTGTGTCCCAGACCTGCCCCAGTGTCCAAGACTTGCTTTCTTTGTCACCTACATCTGGTTTTCTAGCCACCTTGAAAGGACTCTGGGCTCTTGGGTTCCTGCCCAGGCTAGAATTTGGGAAATGTCCAGGTGACATCTGTCCATTCTCGAATCCCATCCATTCACCCGCCCATCAGGTATTAATTCAAAGGAGATTCGCCAAATGAATAAACGATGCCCATGAGACCCCATGTGGAGCCGGGCCTCTCCTCGCAGCTCTGGGAGACCCGGCGTCCGTCCTGGGCCTCGCCTCTGCTCTCAGGTCCTCTCAGATACAGACGCCCAGAGGAGCTGCAGCCACCTTCTCCTTCTAGGTTCTGATTGCATTCCCAGCCTCTGGTTTAGGGTCCCTGGAGAGGGGGTGGAGAGGAAGGGCGTCCTGCCTCCACTGCCCTGACGCGGGAAGGAGTGTGTCTGATGTAGTGGGCCAGGCGGGGAGAGACCTGAGAGGAGGCACCCCCCTCTGCTGCAAGACCTGGGCTTTTCCCGGGAGCAGGGACTCTGGAGTGGTGGTCTCAGGCCCGCTGACATCAGTTTGCACATTGGGCTTGACAGGAGATGGTAAATCCATTGTCTGACCAGAGGCCCTTCCACCAACATTCCCCTCAAAGCGTAGCCGAGGAGACATCACCCCCTTGCTGCCTGGACCAAAACTCTCCTTTTAGTCCTCAACGTTTTATATTCTTTCCGTTTTAACTCTCAATTTTAACCAGGGGATTTTAAAGGAAAACTGAAAGCCAGAACCCTTTTTTCTTCTTAAGCTCCAGTTCCTGTGATCCTCTGATTTTATTTTGATCTGCTTGGGGAGGGACGTGGCGAGGTCATACCTTCTCAGAGGAGGTCTGGAGGTGGATGAAGAAGATGGGGGTTTGTACTCGGATGTTTTACAAGCCAGCACCTACTGTGTTCTTGGAGAGTGTTGGCGCTGTGACCATCTTTGGATCTCCCTGTGCCCTTCTCAGGCTCCAGACCAGGTGATGTCAGTGAAAAAGTCCAGTTGGTTCAAGATCAGGAATTCCTGTGGCCTTGCTGGGAGTTCCTTTGGGGAACCTGACTTTTCAGCTCCAGATCTGGCTCTTGGGTGCAGTGACCTGGCTGGATATGCTGGATTCTTGACCCCTCGCTCTGGCTGGCTCTGCTCCTCTGTCCTGGCCCTGGGTCACGGGAGGGGCCAGGAACTGAATGACAAGGAGGACAAAAGGATTCCTTCTCGAAAAGCTGGGACTTCTCCTCAAGAACCCGAACCTAGGGTGAGGACTTTGCGTGTGACCAGGAGCAAGTTGCTTAAACCTCCTGTGCCTCGATTTCCCCCTCTGCAAAGTGGGGCCAGTGATTATCGTTTGTCAGCACTCTTCCTAGCAAGTGCTGTATAAGGGCAAAACAATACCCTTTCTCTATGTATCTTTGTATCCGTACACACTATATACAGTCATGTAATCACCACTTCTCAGTGTCTGTTTGAAAGGAAGACTCCTGAGTTGGGTGGAGTGTCGAGGGCCGGATAAGCCAGCTTGGGGCCTCTGGGGCCGACACACGGGTCTTTGCTCAGCCATGTCCACCTGGGCTACGGGGGCAAACCAGGACCAGCTGGAGACCTGTGTGGGCTTTAGCCTGGGGGCTGGGCATTTTGTCCCTCGACTCCCTTCTCAGACAGAACTGGTTCGGCAGCCCAGCCCTGCCCTTGCTCCCTGCCCCTCTTGGTTGGCTCTTGGCTGTGTGGGGATCCTGGTCCCCCGGAGGCCCTGGGGACTGGGCAGGTGAGGATGGAGCTCTTTCAGGCTGGGACTGGAGGGTGAGTGGGGAGAGCAGCCGCTCTGTTTGCCTGGTGCACCCGGCAGCCCACAGGGGCCTCAAGTCCCCATTTGCAGATGGGTGGGGCCCCTGCTGCACAGCACCCCGAGCTGGGCTGCGTTCTCCTCAGGGCTGAGCGCAGGGTCAGGGGAGTGGAGACCTGTTTGTTCCGTTCTCAGAATAAATGTTACCACAATTCCAGAAAGGCCTTCCTGTGTCTGTCTGTCCCTCTGGGGATATGGGACAATGAAGGGAATGTTTCCCAGGCCTGGGTGACTGTCTGTTTAGAGAGCCACGTGAAGGAGTTACAGCTGAAGCTGGACCCCGATGCCTGCCTGGTGGGACCGTGCTGGCATCATTCGGCTGTCCCTTCACCTGGCCTTTTCCCAAGTCCCGTCCCAGGCACGGGGGTGGGGGAAGCAGCCACAGTGCCTGCTCCGGGGCAGTGTACAGACTGGTGGGGAAGACATGCAGAGAACCAGTGGCGAGGCAATGTGGGACTACTGGGTGTTCCCTGAGCCTGCTGGGGGCAGGAAGGCCTCGCCCTGAGCCAGTTGTGGAATAGAGGGGGGCAGCCGCATGAAGGGCAGCCAAAAAGGAGATGGGCTTATGGGGGTACAGGTGGATGTAGGGGATCAGAGTGGAGGCTGTTGAGGGGGAGATGATGGCAGCTCGAGCCAGAAAGGCGGGGGTGGCGGGGAGGAGAAACCAGAGAGATTTCAGAGGTAGAGTGGACAGAGCTTGGTGGCTGGGTTGGGAGTGGGGAGTAAGGGAAGAGTAAATGCACTAAGACCAAGATTTCCTCATCAGACTGAGGGAAGGATGTGCTGAGCGACGTGCCCGCCCTAGCGTAGTGCCTGGCCACTGGTAGGTGCTGAGTAGCTGTAGCTGTGCAGCACCTGGAGGGGACCACACACCCCCGCGCCACTCCGCACCCATCCTTCGCAGCTCAGACCTGCGCTCTGCCTGGGGCACCATTTCCTCTTCGGGCCTCAGCTCTCCATCTGTGTGAGGCTGACACCACTCGCCCCCCCAGTCTGGCTGGCTCAGCAAGAGATGATGAGAGGGGTGGTAGGTATCGAGTGCGGACGGCAGGTGGGAGTCCAGCAGTGGGGACTGTTCAAGAGCAACTCCGGTCATGGGCACCCAGCCAAGCACACGCCAACACCCAGGGGTCTTCAGGGGTCAGGATCGTCGGGTCAGAGGGAGCCCCAGCCTCGGCACAGCCTGGGTCCCAGCGCCGTCGCTTCCCACCCGCTGCTCCAGGCCGAGGCCGGATGCTCAGCCTTGCCCTCCAGGGGGCGCCGTCGGGCAGCTGTGCCCGGGAGGTGGCGCAGTTGGGCCATTGGTCCCTCCCTGGGTCCCCCACCCCATCCTTTGGGTGGCAGCCAGGTGGCCCCTTCCCTGCAGGCACAACCCAGTTACAGAGACTCCAAAAGAGTACCTCCCTCCGCCCTGGCCAAACCTGTCCCGGAGAGGCCTGCGTGGCTGGAGCTGCTGCCAGGGTCGCTGCAGGCGAAGGGCCACGACGTGCAAGGGCCAGGTCTCAACAGGGAGTCCTCGGTGTCCCTGTCTTCGCTGATGCTAATAACGAACATTTTGTTCACTCTCTTCCTCCCCTACTGTAAAATCGCATTTTCCACCTCAGTTTGCACGAGTCCCTGGTACATGCAGCGTTGCTCCCAGTCAGCTGCTTTGAGAAGGTTCCCTGCATGATTAGAGACAGCAGGCATCTCGCGCCCCAGCCCCCAGAACAAGCTGTGGGGCAGTGGCGAAGTGATGAACTTCAGGGGGACTCATCTGAGGTGAGCCCTCGGGAAGTGGCCTGGGGCAAGGGCAGTGTCTGGGGGCGGGGGGGGGGGGGCAGGGCGGCAGAAAGGGCCAGGAGGCAGGGCTTGCTACCTCCTGCCCTGCCTCGCCTGGTCCTTTGCTCTGAGTCTCAAACAGCCATTTTGCGGAGAAGGAAACAGTCTTGGCAGACAGCAGGCAGGGGCCAAGACTCAGCAAATCAGTGACCAAGTCGGGATCAGAGCAAGGTTTCCTGCCCAGGTGCTGAGAGCAGGTGGTGGGCATTACTGCAAATGACAGGAGGCAGCTGAGGCTGGGATGAGTGGCTCCGGGCCTGCTCCCACGCTGGTCGGCAGCACAGCCGAGAAAGACCCCGGTGCCCCGGCCTCCCCGCTGGGCGGCCAGGGCTCCGCCAGGGCCCTGGGCAGCACAGCCCGCCTCCCATGCTGATGTCACGACACCCAGACCTCGGAGGGCCCTCCAACTCCGCCTCCCAGGGGAAGGCTCTGGAGTGGGGAGGAGAGGGCAGCAGTCCCGGCCGGAGAGCTGCCCTGGGCAGGAAGGAAAGGGAGAGACTGAGAGACAGAGTCACACAGCGAAAGACCGCAAGACCCAGAGAGACCCCCAGAGCAAGTCACGGAGCAAGACAGAGGAAGAGGGGGCTTGTGTCTGCAGATTTTCCCACACCAGCCACCCCAGCTTCCCGAGCCCTCTGTGCTGGTGGCAGCTCCAGCCAGGCCGGTGGGCAGCAGGGACCCAGGTAAGGATGGGCTGCCCGCTGTCCTGAGCCCTGGGAGAAGGGTTTGCTGGACTTCGGGGGAGTCATGGGCTCAGGCCACCCTGGAGCCACTGTCCCCACAGCCAATTGCTCCTGGTCTGGGCTCCCTGCCATCTCTGACCAGAGCTGGGACGGGGGGCAGACATGCTGGGGGTGGCAGACAGAGTCCTCTGTCCCTGACTCTTTGTCTCCTTAGGCCTCTCTCAGCCACTATCTCTTTCTTTATCTCTCTCCTTGGATAAGTCGCTTCCTTCCTCTGTGCCTCAAATTTCCCATCTGTGAAATGGGAGATGAAGCCCCATCAGCCATGGTTGTTGGGAGGACAAGGTAAACTGAGCATGGGTACAGAAATGGAAATACAGTTCTGTGTTCTCTGTTGTCAATTTAAAAAGCAATTAACTTGAACAGGGATTAGTTATTATTTTGAAGAAAAAAAATGTCTATTTTGTAGCTTTTTCCTTACACGTGACCCTTAAATTCTATGCCCTTTCAACCCCTTTCCACCTGCCAAGGCCCTGAAGGCCCCGGTTCTGCCCCTGGCTCTCGGGGCTCACACTGGTGCAGGATGCCAGCACCACAGCTGGGCATCCTCTTCACAGACGTAGCTCCCCACGGCAGCTGCCTGCTGGCCTTTGTTGAATTCCCTTCTCAGCCAGACACCCAGGCCAGGTGCAGGTCTCCAGAAGGACGGTGTGCCTGCTGTATCCCGAGCCCCAGGGCAGGGGTCAGGGCTCGGGTGTCAGGTAGTGTCATGGGCAGAGGATCAAATGCCCCAGCGCCTCTGAATGCACCTTGTGAAAAATTGATGCTCATCCTGGGAGGCAGGTAGGGGGCCAGAGGGGCCTCATGCCGGGGCCAATGGGCTGGGGCTGCTTTTGATCACCCCACTCAGTCCCACGAGTCCTTCCTGAGCTGTCCCTGTGCTGTGTGAGGTGATGGCTGAGCCCCACACCCTACCCTGTATCAACTCCCTCACTTTGGGAGCAGAGGTGGGGACAGACCCTGACCAGACAACAGACGCATATAGTCAGGGCCGGATAGAGGGAAATATTGGGGCTCTTGGCAGCCTGGGGACAGTCAGGGAAGGCTTCCTGGAGGAGGTACCATCTAAACTGAGCCGTGAAGCATAGGTGGGAATTTATTAGTCAGAATTCCAGGCAGAGGGTCCAGTGTATACAAAGTCTAAGAGGTATAAAAAGGGCCAGCGTATTTCAGGAAGAGTGAGTGCTGAGAACGGCCCAAGGGCAGGGGTGGGGAAGGAAGAAAGCAGAGAGAGGCAAGACTGAGCCGCATAGTGCTGGGCCTTAAGCGCAAGATGGGGGAGGGATTAGAGCCCCCATCCTGAAGGCCGGGGGTGCTCTGGAAGGGTTTTAGGCACGTCGTGTCATGAGCAGGTCATGTACAGCCTGACCCTCCTCTTGGGCCAGGCTGTCCCTGTCACCTGTACTCCTGGGGCAGCTCTGAGCTGGGTGGCCAGAGACCAAGTCCTAATCCTGAATTTGTCCTGTCCTGCTGTGTGACCTTTGGCAAGCCTTGGTCCCTCTCTGGCCCCTTTGCCCATATGTCCAGGGGAGGGGGCTGGACTTTCTACTTCTTAGGAGCCCTTTGGGAATCTCTGAATAACAGTAGTAAAAAGGGAGCTCAGCTGCTCTGGGCAGTGGAACTGGTGATGGTGGCAGAGGCTCAGGTCACGCAGGCTGGGCTGTGGCCAGAGGGAGAGAAGCCAGGGAGGGTTCCTCAGGGAGGAGGGGCTGGGGCTTTGGGAAGAGCCCAGGTGACCCAGCCAGGCTCAGTGCTTCCAGGGCTGGCTGGCTCAGAGGTTTGACATGGTCTCTCTCCCTGCAGAACTGTGTCTGGCCAGGCGGGCAGTAGGAGCATTTGACCAAGGACAATGGTGATTCTTCAGCAGGTGAGGACTCCTTCATCTTTCTATCAGGAATAACCCCGTTGGGTGGCTCATCCTTCCCTATCCCATATTCTCTTATCCATGTTCTTAGCTGTAGAATCCCCTCCCTAATCCTTTCTTCTAGAAAACTCCTATCTATGCTTCAAAACCCAGGTATGAAACTTTCCCTGACTCTCTCAGGGCCCATTCTCCCTGTGATGTGTCTGTTGGGGCCTCCCTTTCTCATTGCACTCACCCCACTGGTCAGAAATTACTTATTTATACACATCTCTGAATCCCCAGGTAGTCCAGGCAGTGGAACAGCATGTGCAAAGGCCCAGATGTAGAGAAGCCCTTGGAGAAAGGGAAGACGAAGTTGGCAAGTCTATTGAAGCCAGACCAGGAAGGGCCTTGAGCCTGACTGGGGAGAAGTGAAGGGGGGATGACGTAGCCAGAGCTACAGGCTCCGAGGGTAATATGGGGAAGAAGCAGAGGTGCTGCCCCCGGCTGAGTCCTCCAGCCCCCCTTCCTTCCCAGGGCCACAGTGGCCCCTGACCCTCAGCCCTTCCCCGTGATCAGCCTGAAACTCTAATGAGCTCCTGGTCTCCAGATTCAGGAATGTGGGCCCTGAGCCAGGTCGGCCTGGCACCAGGCCCTTGGGCTGGTAGGGGTGTGTGCTGTGGAGGCTTGGCCAGTGGCTTCATGTCCTCCAGGACCATGTGGGACCAATGGGCAGCCGTGCCCTGCAGCTGCGTGTTTGAGTGTGAGTTATGTATATGTGTGTATGTGAGAAGGCAGGCGTCAGGGCAGGATCAGGATAGACAGTCTTCTGTCCTGGGGCTGGAGGAGTCACCCCCTAGAGCCCCTCGGCCTGAGAGTCTCTTCAAAGGCCCATCAGAGATGGCCAAGACCAAAAACAGAAGGAAAAGTCACTGTCACTGAGTGTTTGCTGGGTGCCAGGGCCTGGGCTGCAGGCGGGGCTGGGTGGATGGGGACATTTGCAGACCCCAGAGGGAGGGCCTGGGCCACTCATAGCTCCCACAGCCGCTTTCCCTCGGGAGGCCTCTGACTTGCTGTCCACCCTCCTCCAACCAGCCCCCCTGAACGCTGGCCCATCTCGTCTGGCAGCCTCTGCTGGGAGCAGGTATCTGCAGGTGGACCTGGCTCTGCCCACCCCTCACACAGAAAGCACATTTCTGTTACTTCTTTGGTCCTGAATGAAGTCCCAGCTCTGGGGAGCCAGCCAGCCACGCAGCTCCACAGGCAGAGCCCGCAGCCCTGGGCTCATCTTGGGCTTTGCTGTTGATAAGTGTGCGGATCTGGGGCACGCACGTCCTTCAGCCTTCCTGAGCCTCAGTTTCCTCATCTGTAAAACGAGGATAAAAACCCTCCTTTCCCAGGATGGTTGCTGTGAAGATGAAATGCCATGAGGGGTTCAGTCAGAGCACTTGCCTTTCACCTGCCTACCAGGTCCGCCTCCTCCCGCCACGCCTTCCCTGTCCTGAAAGACGGTCGGTCTGCCCGAGCACTTGGTCCCTCTTCTGACTGACTTCTAAGTCCTCGCTGTGGCCACGACTCCCTTTGGGACCCTTCCCTCCTCTGCGCGCACTAGAGTCTGACCGCACGCCACCTTCTTCCCCTGCCTTCCTGGGGCGTCCTGGTGAGCCCAGAAATGGGGGACAGCCTTCATCCTGCTCCCCACGGCCTCCTCAGCTCCAGCGCCAGCACCCGCAGAGATGGAGCTCTGTGCCGAACGAATGAACGATTGTGATTTCACCCTCATTTTGTCCAAGGGTCTGGGACGAGCATGATACCTACCTCAAAGGGATGTTGGAGAACAAAATATCGTAACACATGTACAACGCTCAACCCAATGCTGGACACAGCTCAAAAGAGTTTAACGGCCACGGCGACCACTACTAAAATCATATCAGTAGTGTTCCTGTGTATGAGAATTTCCCATTCTTTTCTCTCTTTTACTTTACTGGGTATAAATATTTATTTGGGATAAATTATTTGAGGAGACCTCAGAGAATATGACGTTTCTTGCCCCGTGTGTAGAGTGGCCCAGTGTGGGACATATCAGTGACAGATACTCACCCATCCCTCCCTCATTCCCTCCATTCATCCATTATGCCAGCCTATCTGAGCCCCACAGAGTACCAGGCACAGAGAACACTTTCATAAGTTGTGCTCAGAATCCAAATCTCTTCATTATGAAAAAATGTTATTCATTTGTTGAGGGTTCTAATTCTTCAAAGGTAGCATCCACATTGGTCCTACTGTGTGCCGGGTACTCTCTATACATGATCTCATTTTATTGCCGTAAGGCTGTAGGGTAGGGATCTTTGTGCCGATATTGCCGGTGAAGAAACTGAAGCCCAGATAGGGTAATTTATTTTTATTTTTAATTTTTTTTAATTTCAGCTATGCTTTTATTTATTTATTTTTTAACTTCTTTATCGGAGTATAATCGCTTTACGATGGTGTGTTAGCTTCTGCTGTGTAGCAAAGTGAATCAGCTATACATATATCCCCATATCTCCTCCCTCTTGCGTCTCCCTCCCTCCCACCCTCCCTGTCCCACCCCTCTAGGTGGTCACAAAGCACTGAGCTGATCTCCCTGTGCTATGCAGCTGCTTCCCACTAGCTATCTATTTTACATTTGGCAACGTATATATGTCCCAGATAGGGTAATTTACACATGAGCTGGGGCAGGTCCAGACAGGATAGGGAGCCATGCTGGTGAGGGGGGGCAGCATGCAGGGAGAAGAGACCTTGGGAAGAGGCTGCTGTGTAGGGCACAGGGCTGTGGCACAAGGAGCAGGCACAGGGCTCAGGGGAGGAGGTCAGACTTCCCCTGCTGGGTGGCATTCACAGAGCGTGAGCTCTTTCCCAGGCACCCTGTGGTAGGCTGGGCAGACCCACCATGTTGATGGCTTTGGGAGTAGGTGGGAGTGTCTGGAGGTTCCTAGTGTGCCGGAAGCCACCTCCTTCAGCCAAGTACTCACTCACCCACCCAGCAAAGTGGCACTCAGCCCCTTCTCTGTACCGGGCAGGGCACAAAGGATACAGAGATAAACTGACTGCTCCCTGTCCTGGAGGAGTTTCCAGACCAAAGTGGGAGGCAGCTCCGAAACACAGCAAGGGTGCCCATGAGCAGAACCGTGATAGCAGGAGTCCTGGGGGTGGAGTAGGGTGGGAGGGAGCCTGGGGATGGGGGAGGCTTCTGCCCCGCCGGCGGTACGGCAGGGTGGAGTGGTGATGTCAGGGAAGGCTCTGAGGCTGTCGTGGTAGCCCCTCACATACAGATGGGTGGCTGTGGTCTCAGGAGGAGGGACTTGCCCCACGTTGCAAGGCTAGCTGGTGCTTGTGAGAACCCAGAGATCTGTGGTACACGTGACCCGCTTCTTTAGGACCTCAGGGAAGTCTGCTGTGCCTCAGTAAGATGTGATTTCTGGCTCTGTGGTGAGGCCAGTGTAGGGACTAGATGTACTTTGCCCAGATTCCTGGATCAGAGTGAAGTTTGAAGATAAATCTGTGGACTGTTGATAACAGTTGGGTTAAGTCTTTTATTAAAATATAATGTTCTTCTTTGTCTGTTGTAACAATTCCTGATTTAAAGTCCATTTTGTTTGATATTAGTACAGCCACCTCAGCTCTTTTTTGGTTACTGTTTTCAAGGAGTATATTTTTCTATCCTTTCACTTTCAACCTATTTGTGTCTTTGGATCTAAAGTGAGTCTCTTGTAGATAGCATATAGTTGGATCATGTGTTTTTTTTTTAAACCTTTTCTGCCAACCTCTACCTTTTAATTGGAGAGTTAAATTCATTTCCATTTAAAGACTTACTTCTTCCATTTTGCTGTTTTTTTTATATGTCATATCTTTCCCCTGTCAATTCCTCTATAATGACGTCTTTTTTTAATTGAAGTATAGTTGATTTACAATGTTGTGTTAGTTTCAGGTGTACAGCAAAGTGATTCAGTTATATACATATATATATATATTTTTTTTTCAGATTCTTTTCCCTTATAGGTTACTACAAAATATTGAGTATAGTTCCCTGGGTTATACAGTAGGTACTTGTTGGTTATCTATTTTATAAATAGTAGTGGGTATCTGTTAATCCCAAACTCCTAACTTATCCCTCCCCCACTTTCCCCTTTGGTTACCGTAGTTAGTTTGTTTTCTATCTCTGTGGGTCTATTTCTGTTTTATATTTAAGTGCATTTGTATCTTTTTTTTTTTAGATTCTACTCTATGATGCCTTCTTTTGTGTTTGATTTTTTTCCCCCACTCTACTGTTTTGGTTCCCTTCTCATTCATTTCTCTCTCTCTCTCTCTCTCTCTCTCTCTATATATATATATATATATATATATATATATATATATTTTTCCCCCCTAGTAGTTACTCTGGGGTTTACAATTAACACCTTACATTTATAACAATCTAGTGAGGGTTAACACCAACTTAGCTTCAATAGTACATGAAAATGCTGCTCCTATACAGTTCCATCACTCTCTCTTTACAGTATTATTGTCAGAAATTACATCTTTATACACTGTGTGCCCATTAACATAGATTTATAATTGTTATTTTATGCATTTGTCTTTTAAATCACATAGGAAAAAAAAGAAGTGACAAACCAAAAATAACAATAAGGCTGGCTCTTATATTTACCTTTGTAGTTACCTTACTGGGTTCTTTATTTCTTTGTATGGCATTGAGTTACTGTCTGGTGCCATTTAATTTTAGCCTGAAGGAATATTTTTGGCATTTCTTGCAGAGCAGGTCTATTAGCTACCAACTCCCTCAGTTTTTGTTTATCTGGGAATGTCTTAGTTTCTCTTTCACTGTTGAAGAATATTCTTGCCACATACAGAATTCTTGTTGGAAATGTGGTTTTTTCCTTTCTGCATTTTAAATATATTATCCTACTGCCTTCTGGTCTCCATGGTTTCTGATGAGAAATCAGCAATTAATCATATTGAAGATCCTTCATATATGATGAGTCACTTCT